CTGAATCTGCAGGTCTTCGGATCACAGTGTGAAACTTGCTGCTTTGGATGTAACCTTCCCATGGTTTAAATAAAACTAAACGGTGTTGAATTTTGGTTGGATGGATTTTCGTGAAGGAAGATAGTGATCTGAAAGGCTCTTGGTTCCCATGCTATTGTGTGTGACATAAGGGAGAGAATATATTAAAAAGATTCCGTGGAAGACTGTGTTGGGCAAATACCAAACAGTTAAAAGACAAGCTTTAAGGACATTTAGGTCTCATGATGTCCCAAGTGGGGATTGAACATGAGACCTCTGTATCTGAAAGTAGGAGTCTTCTGCTACCTGAAATGAAAGACCCAAGTCTATTGTCTCAAAGGCTGTTGTAGCCATGAGAGGGAGACAGAGAACCACACTGTGTAAGAAGAGGTTACAGCTGTACTACAAAGTATTTCCTGTTGCTGCTAGCACCTGTTCGGCTTCATCAACAATGGGATCCCTCACGTATACCAGGCAGCAGTGGCTTGAGGCATTTTTACCACTACCATGTCAGTTAAGCCTGCTGAAGAGCAGGTGTGAGTAATGTGGTGGAACAGTAGTGTCTGGCATCTGGAGTTTTGGTCTGAGCATTGTGATGTGCCAGCACTTCTCTGTTCCTGAAGGGTTAGATTTCATTTATTAAGAAAAAAGTATCTAGACAATGTGTATGGCAATACCCAGGGCTCGACAAATCAATGAATGTACTCACCTGGGGCGAGTAGATTTCAGCCGGTCGCCCCGTTCACTGGTGGCGTGCGCATGCGCAATGCGGGGCTGGCGCATGTGCAGTGTAGGGCTGGCGAGTAGATTTCGCTGCGGTTTGTCAAGCCCTGGCAGTACCCATACAAATGCCATATGTTATCTGAATGAGGCTGACTCTGTAACAAAGAGGTGGCAACTGCCTTACTTATTTCCGGGTGTGTGTTGACTTTGAAGCATAATGATGGCAGCTTTAAATGAGAATGCTGATAACTGCTTCACTGCCAGTCAGCTTAGCAGAAACTTCCCAGCTGCTCTGGAGCTGAGGGAGGAGCGTGGATCGATTGTACCCATTTCTGCTCCTAGTTCAAAATCTGCTCTTACGTTGTGTGCAAAATGCATCTTGTTTCTTTTTTCATTGCAGTGCATTTACCCATGTGTTCACCTTTGGCCCAACCTTCCGAGCTGAGAACTCTCAAAGTCGCAGGCATCTGGCAGAGTTCTACATGGTAGAAGCAGAGATATCTTTTACTGAAAGCCTTCAGGACATCATTCAAGTAAGTACCAGTGTGTGTGATTGTATAGGTATTGGAGCTTTCTCCTCCATTTAGTGTGCTCAGCCTCAGGGACAGTGCAGTTGAACCTTCTATCACCTACTGTAATCTTTCCAGTTTAGTCGTGAGTTATATTGAAGACAGCTAAGCTGTCTTTGGCCATTGAGGAGAAATGAAAAAGGATTTGAGAGAAGGACTGATCCAGTGTGCTCTGAGTGAGCCATTGAGTTTTCTATGATGTGCTCCAGGGCTGCCCTCAGTTTTAATACAGAATAACAGCTTGCAGAAATTACTATTCACAGCATGCAGTATCCCACCTTGATATTAGCAGAAAGCTGGAAAACTTAATCACTGCTGTGTATCAAAGCTGAGATGAGAGCCATTTTGCACAAACAGATGCCGCCCTCTGGCTCTCAGAAAGCACAGTTTACACATCCCTTTCCTAGTTGTTCTGAGGAGACACACACACCCCGGAGCTTGCGGGACTAGTCAGTCCAGAGGAAATAGAGAATTAGAATCTTTCAGAATTTCTCAAGTTGTATCATTCAAATTTCTGAAAGGTTTATGGGTTTTGCTCTCTTTAGGGGACAAGAGAAAACTTTGTACTTGGGCTTTGAGAATTTTTGTTGTTGTTAAATGTCTTGCGAAATTATTTCTCTGGGTTTCCTCTTTCCCCTCAATCTCTGACAATCATCATCATCTGTGAGAGAGATTCGTCTTCCTATCACAATGGGTTATTCTGCAGGTCACATCTGGATTGCAAAATACTTATTATTGTTCTTATTTAAAGGCGTAGAGTTCCTGTTTCTTGTAATCACTGGGTAGGCCATTAAAAAATATCTGACAGCTGCACTAAGGTCTCAGTTTCTGTTTCTCTAAGTCTTTATAGAAACTCATCTAAATCCAGTACCTTTGCGGGGCTCAGTGCAATTTTTCTATTGAATGTTTTCCGTCACTGAGTGTAGTGGTTTTCCCAGTTGAAAGCCCTCATGACGAATGGCCAGATTTGCACGCCAGTGTGCTTCAAGGTAAGCTTCTAAATCCATGTGTTGGTACCAAATATAAACTGGCTAATTTTTCCAAAGTGTGAACTACTTGCAATGTCCATGGGAAGCTTTGGATGCTCAGTTCTTTTGAAAACCAAGCCATTTGTTTAGGGCTCTAAATATGAATACAAATGCTAACTTCGGGCATCCGCCCAAGTCCTAATACTGCTCTGCTGCCATTGAGGCTGACCTTACTCAGATGGGCTACTTCTGAGTATAAGAACAGAATCTTTGCTTATTTAGTCCTTGAACTCTTTGATCCAAGCAACAAGGACTAGTTATTGACAACATAGAAATGGTGGCTTTGGAGTTGTAGATGCCTGCCCACTGGGAAGCAGTCTGATGGCAAAACTTATTTAATATAAGCTACCACCAATAGCTCATACCACTTTTCATTCACTACCGAGGAGGATGTGATAGTTGTATCTGTGTCATGCCACACACTACCTTTCATTTTAGAGTGGCAGCTAGTTTTTATCTCAGTGTTGCCATCTCTTTGTGATTTTTATCCCCAGGCATTGTGGTACTCAGTGTCTTTTAAAGCCCCAGCTGCAGGAGTCGTATGATCATATGAGACTCTTGGCTTTCATTTAAAAATCAGTCAGTTCCTAGTCCTTGAAGTCATGGAGAAAACACTACCCAAGTCTGACCTGAAGGATCAAATCCCGAAGGCAAATAAAAAGTACCTAAAATGTATTATTTAAAAAATGACCCATCATTCAGTTAGAACAGTCAGAGTGAAGAATTCTATATAGGAACTCAACTCCCTTGGTCCTATCCATTATGACAGTGATTCCTAACCTGTGGTCCGTGATGGGTATCGTAGGGGGTTCACAGAAAGTTTAAAAGTAAGGATCAGGCCCACTGTGGGACTGGGACTTTCCACCAAGTGATTATCACCCAGGGCTCACTGTTCGCGACCATCTGTCCTTCCACCGTCGTCTGTGCTATCGTTTATGCTCTAGCCTGCTCCCAGTTCCATGGTGGGCCTTATCCTTTTCTTTATCTTTTTTTTTCTCCCTCACAGGAGAATATGCCACTATTCCTTTTCAAATATATGGACCTGCATGGAGTAACTGCCAGCAGTAGTAGGTTGTCATTGCCTATGCGGACCAGCACTAGTGGAGGATGGGGAACTGGAGACTCATGGACCTTGAGGTTCGTGCCAGGTGCTAGAAGCAAGTGTGCTCTATCAGGCACAGACTTTTTTGCTCCTTCCCTCCATGATCAATCCCTTGTGTCCCAAATAGTGTTCCCTGTAAACTGTGTACTTGTGAGACTAGTGCTGCTCCGCATAGGCAATGGCAACCTACTGCTGCTGTCAGTTACTACATTAACTCAAGTGGAGAGTTTGTGCAGTGAATCTAAAGGGTCCAGTCCTGCCAGTGCCCCATGTGGGTGTTAACATGATACCATAGGATGGAATATTTCAGTTTGATGTCATAAAATTCTACTCAGTTGCACACAAAAAAACTGCATTAAAAGAACATTATTCAGGCTGCCAAGTCATACACTCAATTAGGAAATGCCAGAATTAAGGTTGCCCATGCAACCTTAATTTAACCCGCTTGTGCATATGCATTATGTTACAGTCCCCAATTATACGGTTACATAATATTTTCGCCACAGGGCCCCTGCCTCAGTGCACATGGTGGCTGGAGTTGTGGAAGCAAATCTGTGCTGTTTGCCTTATTGGTTACAGAAGTCAGAAGGTGTATAGGGAATGAGGTGGGGCCTTGCAGAACGAAAGAGAACAGCCGAGTAGTTAAGGCAATGGAATGCTGTCCTAAGGAATTAGATTCAATTCCTGCCTCTGCAGCAGAGTTTCCATGAGATGTGAAACGGCACTTTTCACAGGTGGTTCCTAATTCTGTGATCTTTGTTTTCTGGGTGCCTGGCTTGAGACACGTGGATCTGATGTGTAGAAAGTGCTGAGCACTCACAGCTGCAACTGAAGGCAAAGGGATAGTGCTACGAGTAAAGTGATATGTTAGGCTAAGTATATGGAAAAATCATAACCTATGTAACTCACATCGGGCACCCAGAATTAGAGGATACTTTTGATCTGTGCGCCTCCATTTCCCATTTGTAAAATGGGGGAATAATAGTCTGTCCCTCCTCACATGGGATGTAGCAAAAATCAGTTAGTTTGTGAGGTATTGAGGCAACATAATAAAGAGCACCATAAACAATATCCTAAGGAAATCACTAATTCTGTCTTCAGGGCAGGGTTTGAATAGTGTGCAGTAAATAAGGAGAAAACAGATTAGTGAATAGCTCCTCATTAAATGAGCTCTGTTCATCCTTTGCACTTAATGAGGCGGGGGTTTTGTGGAAAAAACTGTATGGTAATGATGTAATTAAAGATCATAATGCATATGCACAATAGGGCTGAATTAAAGTTTCATGGACAGCTTTAATTTGGGCATTTCCTAACTTGATTGCTTGACTTTGTAACCTTAATACTATGCCATTAATGTAAGTTTTGTGTTTGTCATTAGGCAATAGGTTGTCAACTTAGTGCAAAATATTCTCTTTGCAGCTGTTTCACTCACAAATTATTTCTGGTGGTCCTTGGAGCAATTGTTTCTTGAGGTAAACATTTCCTGTGCAAAAATAGTGAAAGAAATCCACTAGAATCCCAAATTTTGTTTTGGGGGGTAATGTGTTTGCCTGCAACAATGTTCAGCTATGTCAGCGTTTCCCAAACTATGGGCCGTGGCCCGGTACCAGGCCGCGGGAAAAACATACCGGGCCTCAGCATGCCTGGTGGCTGTTGGCAGGGCTGGCCTTAGGCCGATTCGGGCCCCGTGCCCCTGAACCCGGAAGTGCCGGCGAGTTACAGAGCCGGGGGCCCTGCTCCACCGATATGTGGAGCTGGGTCTCTCTTGGCTCTGCCTGGCGCGGGCGCGGGTCCCCCGCGCGTCCTCCCACCCCACCCCCAGAGCGTCCCCGCCGTGCGCAGCTCCTCCTCACCGCCTGCTGCTGCCCATGTACGGTGTTGCATGTGGGCGGGGAGGACACCCGGGCGTGACGTGACGTCACAGCTCGGGATTTTAAAAGCCTTCGGAGGCACATGGCGGGGCCACGCTGGCTCCGGGTTTGGTCTCCGGCCCTGCAATGTGGAAGGCAGAAAGTAGGGAACGGGCTTGGGCGGAGGCGAGGAGGCGGCAGCGGCAGCGGCGGGCTTGCG